ACCTTATTAGGAGGAGTTGGCTACCTCCAGGTACACCTGCATGTAATTTATCAACTTCATTAATATGCTCCCACTTGGAGACTCGGATACATAGAGTTAGGACCACACTTTGCAGAGGTGCCTTGGCGCGGCAGTGTGGCTTCTACATATTTTTGGCCAAAAGTTTGTGCAACTAAAACCTCTGATTTTAACGCATACTGTTGACAGGGCTACTTGTTTGGTTGCAGGCTGGCTGGCAGGCTGAGGCTGGGGAATTTTTGTATTGTTGTAAGCCTTCCCAATGTGCGCCCTGCTATAAAGGCCGGTTATAGATTCAAGCATGTACCATTTTTTCTAGTTATGATATCTACTAAAGCTGTGCAAAAAAAGAAAAATCTCACTTTTAAGTAGTCTCGCTTTTAAGCAGAAGCGATATCTGAACAGTATTTTGACTTTACAGTGGAGCTCGAGGCAAGGATTGTTTTTTTAAAGTTTTGGATAATGTGGGCAATAGTTAGAAACAGTCATCTCTTTATTACTGTCAGTGTGCCATAGAGAAATTTCCCTTCATTGCCTGCCCCAAAGACCATTTGTCACCAGGACAGGAAGTAGGAGGAAATCCCAGAGGTTCTAACCCTTCTCTACTCAATCCAAAATAAAAGTAAAACATTTTTCTTTTGCATGTAAACTTTTAACTGCAACTATGTTTAGCTAGACATTGGTAGGATATATAACAAGCTTTCAGCCCCCAGAACAGTCAACACAGCATTTTAAATAGTAGGTTGTCACAATGAATGTCCCTTTATTGTTTTTTTTTGTTCATAACAAATGTATAGGTTTCTTTTATCTCGGGAAAACCGAGGTGCCAAATCCCTATTCTTACTCACAACATGCGTCAGAAATTTTGTAATTACAACCAGGGCAGGAAAGAGTTCACAGACCAGTTCAAACATTCAAAAGAAATCAATATAAGCCATACTCAATCTATTGGTCTCACTATTACGACAGGTAATTATTTAATATAACGATCAAAAATATCCTTGTTATACTTCTTCTTGCAAACTTTAGCATTCGGTTATTAAGTCACAATCTCGAGGGCTTTTTCTACAAGGTCAGGAAGTTCATGTTGATAGACTGTACTCCCATATTATTTCGATTTTTACTACTAATTATAAGACCATTAAATCTCACCTTTGTATAGTAATAAAATAAACACCTAAAGTTTTGAAGTCACTGAATGCTATTTAAGTTATTCTATATTGCTGACATGATACTATAGTCATGGCAGTGAAACATAAAAGAGCATGGTAAAAACACATTCATTACACATCTTGTTTCATTACGTCTGAATTAGTATGGTAGTCTGTTTCATGTTATCTGTGAAATTTCTGGGAATGTTCTCATGCATCCAGGTCATGGTATATCTGTAAAAAATAAGTCAAGGCAACTGGACTTGCTGTATTTCTCTTGAAGACGTTTCACTGGTCACTGGTGAAATCAATTCTGAATTGAGAAAGCCGGTTGGATGACCAGTGAAATGTCTTCAAGAAAAATACAGCAAGTCCAGTTGCCTTGACTTATTTTTTACAGATATTTATCTGTGAAATGCTCTATAAACAGGCTGGTATGTCTACAGTTTCCACACTGCAGCATCTAAAATTTGAGCATGTGCCACTGAGAATAAATGGATATGCCCAGAGCCTGTACAAGAACAAAGCTAGCCTTGAAATATAAATGTCATTAGAATGGTGGAACTCAATTAAAACACCTATGACATCATCCAGGTTTAGTTCTCAATAGAACATGGGATATTATACTGAGGCAGGGGGCTGTTCAGGAAGCTACACTACTACCATATGCCACTTACTCTTCCTAGAAAGTCAGTGGCTCGCCCCTCAGCAGATAGAAGAAAAACTACATATCAAATAATGAAAATAGTTTTTCAAATGAGTGGCATTATAAAAGTGTAGCTTTGGTGTTCCAGTGTCTTCGCAAGGTTTTCTTTTCTAAATTATTATAGCTTTATTACTTTTCTCAAAAAAGGTTATTCCACTAGGACAGTTACTAGAGGAACTTATATGACACTAAGCTTTTTATGAACTTTTTAGGCCGTCTGTATTTCGACTCACTTATCTCTCTAATGATGGCTATTATGAGTGACTACGTAGGATGGACATCTGTGGTTCAGGGATAATGAAGACAAAATGTGGACCATTATTGCCAAACGCGAACAAATTAGCAGGACCCAGATAACGATCTCTGTGACACACATGTACAAGCAATTATTTTATGCTTCACGGAAAGTTGACAGAAAAAAAAGTGAACAATTTTCCCACTTATAAGAATCTGCTAACTTCCTGAGTTTTCTGTGGAGACTAAGCTTTCCAGCGCTAATAACTGAAGAATGTCACCTCTGGTTTCAGGCTCTCTTCTGTTCGTCACTCTTACATCAACATGTGACCTTTCCATTCCCAGCTAAAAGTAAAATAGGTATATGTGGGTTTGTGTGTGTTCAATGACTTTTAGCACTATTGTTTAGGCAGTCCATGAGTGTTCTACCTGTTTCTCCTAGGGCCTGTTATAAGTCATGCTTTTGGAAAGCTAAACATCTAAAGCTCATACAAGCAAGAACAAATTGTGTAATGACTTGTTAATTTGAAAAATGCTTACATTTTGACCCCTTAAAACAGAACTCTTGACCCTTCTTTAATTTCTGGTGGTATTTCTACTAAAAGCATACTGATACAGTCTGACATTTCAGACAAAAACCTTGCTAGTTTGCTGGCAAACAACACACAACCTACGGCTTTGTGAAGAGGCACAGATCAATTAGTGGGTAGGCACAGGGCCAGCTCATTAGTTGCCAGGAAGAGCCAACGTAATGAATAGCTGGATGAGGCAGCCATGCTCCTGAAATCGATTAGTGATGATAGGGAAGCACTTTACAAAAAAACATTCACTGGGCACAGCCTACAAATGACGGTCGGACTGTGGAGGAAGTAGAAAATTGCCCTATGAAGAATCTTGTAAGTGAAATAGCATTTCCTTTCCCTAACGAATTACACAAAAATTAATTGCAAAACATGATGAATATAGTGAGCTTGTTTTAAAATTAAGAGGGCCTCAATGACTGAAAATAATAAAAGTAAATAGGTCAACACATGTAGCAACAGTGGATTAACTCACAGTACACGGTAGACTTTATATTACTGGCATGTTCTACATCTACAGATATTTTAACATGAATAAAAGCCCAAACTGTCTTAAAACAAATAAATTAAAAAATCCAGATGCCAGGAAAAATCAGCCTTGTGTGATGGAGTTTTTTTTTGTTTTATAACCAAAAAAATACACTCATGCATTTACATAAGGGGATAACTGTGCTAGGGAATTAAACTTCTTTTCCTGGAGTGGTTGAATTCCCTAGCAAGGTCAATGGCACATAGCAAGTGAATACATTTTTTGGGGGGAAAGGAAAATCTGCAAGTAAGCATTTAAAATATTTGATTTTTCTGTGCTTTTACATGCTTTTGTATTAAGGCGGTGACAGGGTCTCTTACAGAGAAACTCTGGTTAAAAATGTTATTAACCCTTGCAGCGAGGCTGCCCCTGCACTGCAAGGGTTAAGTGCTCATTTTTTGCCTAGTGCAAAATATACAAAAGGCCGGCTGTAACAGCGCTCCCTCCAGCCTGTCTCCTTCTTTGCTGCAGTGTTGGTATGTCCTTTAGCGTTCCCACCTCCTAAAAACTGTGTATACAATGTGATGACTCAAGGACCATGGATCACTGCAGTGGAGGGGGAGCGAGGCTAGCTCAGAGGATTAGGTGAGTATAACTTTTTTTTCTAATTTGACCCTAGGCAAAAAATAGCACTTAACCCTTGCATTTCGGGGGGTACCCCCACTGCAAGGATTCATACTTTTTTTTTTTAACTGAAGTTCTGCTTCAAGCCCTTCTATCCCAAAATTTGGATCTTTAGGATTAAAGAAAGGTTTCCCCTGCAGAAGTTTCCATTCTTTGTCAATCACAGCTTTATTACTACTATTTAGAGTAAACCCTCTTTATAATTTCTACATTTTGTCTTCAACTTGAAAAAAACGAAATAATTATAGCTTTAAAATGTTCCTCAAGCTCATCCTCCAGAACCAGAACTTTTTCTTTACTGGCAATCACCCTCAGCATTATCTAAAATTCCCTTCTAATTATTCTGTAGTTAGTGCTAAAAAACACATTTCACGCTTACAAAATTAAGTAGAAACTTGATTACATTATAGTTTTGTGAGTCAAATTGGCTTTAAAATTTGATTGCGTTCTCACTCTAAAAAATAGCAAGAAAAGACAATGATTGCACATATCCTCTACTGGAGACATTCCTCCCACCCATAGTCAATGAATGTTCACAAGCCAGCTAAGGGAGCTGGGAAGCTTGGGCTTTGACTGAGTAAGATCCATGCACCCCATGGCAAAATTTCAGCTGACAATGGTCAGATTTCTTTTGCCATCAAAGTCCTGGTATGAACATCTCCATCTGGAGATAACAGGTATTGGCAAGAGCTGTAATAAGTATGGTATCTTGGATGGCATCTTGGAGTACATATAGCAAAAGATAAAATTGGGTGCAGGTTTGCCAGGAGGCAGCCCAACCTCCTTAAAGGCACAGGGACACACAAAGGACCCCGCACATGTGCCTTTAAGGAGGTTGGGCTGCCTTCTGGCGAACCTGCACCCAATTTTATCTTTTGCTACATGTACTCCAAGATTGAGACTCTCATAGTTTAGAGTTAGGACCGCACTACACAGAGGTGCCTTGACGAGGCGGTGCAGCCTTCACATATTCTGCAGAAGACTTGTATCTAAAACTCTAAAACCTCTGTTTTTAACCTTAGTGGTTAGACAGGTTTTTTTTTGCATGCTGGCTGGTGAGAGCATTAGTGTTGTATCACAACATTAACATTAATAAACATTAATACTAAGCATATGGTTTCACAATCATAAGTAACTAATTAAGTGTAGGACTTTACCTGAAGCTGTGAGTTCAACAGCATAAATTCTTGCTGTTTCTTTAGGTTTTGATCCATACTTCTAGAGAAAAAGGATCCCATCTATAAAATAAAAGTAAGCAAAGTTCATACAAAACTTTAAATGTCTACCTACTACCCAAACAGGTGCTGAAATGTCACAATAGGACCTCGGGCTGCTAGGATCACTCCATAAAACTTGATCGAAAAACCATGCCTGCATAAATTGCCAACACCAGCTGTCATTTTGACAAACAGGTCTTGGTCTGTGTATCAGGAGCAGAGGTAGTGCCTCCTGTATTAGTAACACTTTTATACAATGGGGGAGATTAATGAGGAATGGTGCACACAGAAAAATTTACCAATTTGATATGCCTGCTTAATTAGCTCTTCTTGCAACTATTTAATACAAGTGGCAAACACCAATTAGTTAATTTATTGCATGATGGTAGTGCGCCAGATTCAAGTGCCCTTACTCTGCTGTGCTCCAAAATTGTGCCACAAATCTGAGGTAATGTTCCTTTGGGATCATCCTAAATGTTCTCATTCTCCTCACCTTCCCGCATTGTTGCACCTTGCTGGATGTCCATACACATCCCCATCTCCTTCCCAAACTGATGCATCTCACTGGACATCCATACACATGTCCATCTCCTCTCCTTTCTGCATTGCTGCTCCTAGCTGGACATCCATACACATTGCCATCTCCTCTCTTTCACACAATGATGCACCTCGCTGGTCATCCATACACAACCTTTATCTCCTCCCCTTCCTGCATTGGTGCACCTCATCCATACAAATCCCCATCTCCTCTCCTTTCCACAATTCTGCATCTCGCTGGTTGTCCATACACACCCCTTTCTCCTCTCCTTCTTGAATTGCTGCACCTCCCTGGACATCCATACACATCCCCATCTCCTTTCCTTCCCACATTGCTCCACCTCACTGGTCATCCATACACAACCCTTATCTCCTCTCCTTCCTGAACCTCGCTGGTCGTCCATACACATCACCATCTCCTCTCCTTTCCACATTGCTGCCTCTCCCTGTTTGTCCATACGCATTCCCATCTCTTCTCCTTTCTGCACTTCGTTGGTCGTCCATACACATCCCCATCTCCTCTCCTTCCTGCTGGTCTTCCATACACATCCCATATCCTCTCCTTCCTGCACCATGCTGGTCGTCCATACACATCCCTTTCTCCTCTCCTTCCTGAATTGCTGCACCTCCCTGGACATCCATACACATCCCCATGTCCTCTCCTTCCTGCACCATAATGATCGTCCATACACATCCCTTTCTCCTCTCCTTCCTGAATTGCTGCACCTCCCTGGACATCCATACACATCCCCATGTCCTCTCCTTCCTGCACCTCGCTGGTCGTCCATACACATCCCCATATCCTCTCCTTCCTGCACCATGCTGGTCATCCATACACATCCCTTTCTCCTCTCCTTCCTGAATTGCTGCACCTCCCTGGACATCCATACACATGCCCATGTCCTGTCCTTCCCACATTGCTCCACCTTGCTGTTTGTCCATACACAACCCTTATTGGCTCTCCTTAATTTAGTGCTGATCATCACTTTCACCCCTCCTTACTACAGTATTTACATCACTCTGATAATGGTTTATGTTTTAGAACAGTTTTTAAATCAGAACATTGGCTCCAGTGCTTTATTATTTTGGCGCACACAATTTATAGAAACTGTCACATAGCACTTTTAACATGATTTGGTGCAGCTGGTGCAACACTACATATGATTTGTCTTTTAACATTATTAATTTGCCCCAAAGAAACACAACTGACATATTTCCTTTTGGTAATTCCCCCAATGTTTACAAGCTTCATTATTGAAATACATTGTTACAGGGTATTCAGACTAATTCCAATGCAGACCAAGGGAATGTCGTCTGATGTCAGTTAAAGCAACCCTGCAAGTAAAACATTTTTTTTATTTTTTTAATAAAAAATATTACCAACTTTACCCCTCAGTTAACCTTATTCGGTTTTGCATACTGAGAAAAAAACCCTTGTAGGACCTACAATTCTGGGAATTGTAGCTGTGAATGTGGATATCATTGGGGGTGGGTATGTGGCCAATCCAAAACATGCCATTGCCTTCTGCTAATCAAAGGGTGCAATGATAGTTGTCCTGTCAGACTGGGAGTCAGAGACTCCTCCCACTACAGTGGGAAGAATGGTACTACACAGGGGATGTTACAAGACCGGTGGTCGGGGAAATTGTGGACATATTGGCCACAGGTCTTACTGAACAGAAAGAAGGCTTGCTGCTCCGCTGTTTGTTTACATCCAGTGCTGCAAACCTTCTCTTGGCCCGTGTTTATCTCCCAGGTATGACATAGAAGTATTTGGGGCTGTAATGTGTAGAAGTGACCAGCAGAGGGAGCATTGCAGCGCTGGACGTAAACAATAAGGATGTGTGTGAGCTTGGCATGAGCTAGTGATGAGGCTGGGCTTGCATCCCTGCCACCCCTTCCTTCTGACCCAAGCAGTTGCAGAGAGGCGCACTTCATACCGCACCTGTATATGCCACAAAGTGGCAGGGAATAGCCCCACCACTACTTTTTGGGCTGGGAGGGGAGATGTGGTGGTCACAGTTTTGAATGGGCTTGGGCAAACATAAGCGAACTGGGTTCTCACCAAGCCTTGCCTCATCTCTAGTGTGAGCTGAAAATGTCCAGCCCTGCGCAAAAGTGTTAGTAACACACCCCTTCCTGCCCCAATCAGCTGCGGCTGGGCCCTTCCTTATGCTGGGCACACACCTTACAACCATCGCAAGACTTTTGTCTTGCGATGGTTGTAAGGTAATTAAAAAAACGTACGATCTGCCCATCTTGGACAGGCAGATCGTACTTGTGATGATCGCAAGACCGCCCCGCTGAGGGGCGGGCTTCCGATGACCGCAATGCTAAACGGGCAGTGTGCGCTTGCGCACACTGGCCCGTGCGGCTTTTATCTTGCGAACAAGCCACACCCGCCGACAATCGTACGATTCTCGACGGGTTTTCGAACATGTTCATAAAAGTCGTGCGACCTTACAGTAGAAGAGGTCGCACGCCTTCCACAGGAGAAGTCGCACGCCTTCCATCGTATGATCGCGGGATTTCCCGCGATTATCGTACGATTATCGCAAGGTGTGTGGGCACCTTTACATGTAGTTGCATATGTGTAGTCCCAGCTGCAGCTGATTGGGTTGGGGAGATGTCACTGTGAGCTTTGCTCAGGCGAACGCAGTTTGCACCAAGCCCACCCACATCCCTAGTAAACAACAACGGAATAGTGCCCATCAGATCTCAATGAGTATTGATCTGCAGAAGAGGAGGGTGGCATCATTTATGTTAGGGGAAGGGCAAAAAGGATAAGTACTTTGTTTTAAAGTGCACCTATCCTTTAAGACAGGGGTGGTAAAACTCCAGCTGGTGTGGAACTACAAATCCCATGAAGCATTGCAAATTCCATGAGCATTCACAGGCATGACTCCCAGAGACAGATGCATGATGGCATTTGTCGTTTCACCACAGCTGGGGGACCAGAGTTTGCCTACCCCTGCTTTAAGAGGGCAGATCCAAGACGGGATACATCACTGGTGGTGGTAGTGGGGTGATGACCTTTGGAGTGATGACAAAAAAAAACATTTGTGTCCTAAATTCCCAAAGCCATGCCCCATCACAAGCTACAAGTGTACAGTGACCTAGCCCTCAGCGGTACATATGGTTCCATGGTCACTCCCATCCACTGCTCTCCCTGTACAGTGACACAGATCTGCTTTTATAAATGAAAACATTTACCGTTCAGCTCTGAGCCGGTCGCAGATTGCTGCACAGCCTTCTTATAAGTGACACACGTTACAGGGGAGGAGAGAGGTCAAACCCGGGATTCTCAATGACGTTCGAATCCTTAACTATTCGTGTCCCGCCCCGGGCCTACAATTCCGTGCTTTACGCCCACATTACTTTTCAGTTAGGGCAGCTAAATGGTTAAATGAAGGTGTTCCCGGCAGCACAAGAAGGGAGGGTCTGTAACTTGGTGTGCGTGCTATAGGCTGTGAAGGGCGTGTTGTGGTGAACGGAATATAGTCTGCCGGTGTAAGGGCGCCATCTATGGGCAGTTCGCTAATAGTACAGCACGCTGAGGAGACACACCAGAGAGTGAGATCTGTCACTCACTCTCTCATGTGACAGCCTGAATTGGGTTTAGTTGCTTTTCAGAGGGTACTGCACATGTAAACTAGGCCTTAAAGTGTCTAAGCTAACAATATTGCTTCTGGTGTCTCCAAATGCCTGTGTTAAAATTTCAAATTATTCACTGTGCCCTCGGGGAACCCATTCACTTCAGCGACCTCTTCTTCATTTTAAGCTGACCCTAAACCCATCTCTCTCCTAGCATTAGACCCACTGGCGGAACTACCAGGGTCGCAGAGGTCGCAATTGCGACCGGGCCCTGTCGTTCCGCCACTTGAGGAGGGGGCCCAGCCAGGAAGAACAGGGCCCCCTCCCAGAGATAGTGCCGCTCCTTCCCTGCCGCACAGTCGCCCGCAGCATGTACGCAGAATGTGCTGCAGGCACCGCCGGGCAGCACATGCTGCTGTGTGAGGACCTTCACGACCCCTGGCCACGGAGACGTAGCATCAGCTTGCGCACAGACCAGTATTATCGAGGGAACAGGGATTTATTCACACAGTATTTAGTTTAATCGTTAATTGTGACCATTAATAATATTCCATCCGTCATTTACTGCCATGGATTGTATATTATTAACGGTCATAATTAACCATTACAAACAAATACTTTGTAAATAAATGCCGGTTTCCTCGTTAATCCCGTCTGTACCTAAGCGCAGATACTTGGTCAGCGTTCTTGACAGAACACTGGCACTAAAATTTTTAACAAGCGGCTGCCTGAGGTCCCACGCTTGCTGGGGACCTCGGCAGCCTTCCTGTTAACCACGCGGTGCCATGGCGGTTGGGTGCCTTCATGGTTTCTTGCACCGGGGCACTGAAGGTTCTAGTTACGCCTCTGATTAGACCCCTGTCAATTAGCAGTCCAATACCAAATCCCTTAGTAGTCTATACAGACTCTTGCATGTAACTATTTAAAAAAGACAGTAGCTGGGCTTCGGGATGGGTTTACTACTGACTTGGCAAAAGTTGACCCCTTGTGTACAGCTTTGTACCTGGAATCTTGAGCATTATTTTTGGGTAAAGTGACACTAAACCCAGGAATTTAATCTTAAAAATGCATTCAAGTACCTTAACTGTTAACTATTAGTTTTTAGTACTGGCAAGTTCCTATTAAAGTTTTTTGTTTTCTTTAAATCAAGGACACATTTTTAAACTATAGAAACCTTTCCCCCTAAAACAGGGACTATAACATAAAGGATTGATCAGAAATGTCAGTGAAAAGGTCTTATTGTTACACCCAGCTTCATTTGCGCCATCCCTTCATGACCCCAAGCTATGGGTAAAACCCAGCCAAAATAGTTTGTTTGGGTTTTAGCTAGAGTGGGGAGTGACTATAATGTCAGTGTTTATTGCCATTTAGACCACCATTTGGCAGATTTCACCTCACTTCCTGTCCTTGTGACTTGGTGAAAAGGTCTCCCCAGCAGGGACACAGACAGCCATAAAAACCTAACATAAGTTCACACCCTTTCCCGCTCTAATTTCCTGCCCCAATGATCACACAGGCAGTGAGGAATAATTACCTAAATAGTTGCCGAAACAGTAATAACAGGCTGATGGGGGTCCTACCCCTATTGCATCTTCCTGTTCCACTCTTAGTAAAGTTACATGAACTCCGCCCTACGTGTAATGTCTCATTGACTTCCTCAGGAGAGTGGAACAGGAAGAGATATGAGAGTGTTAAATGCTTTGTACAGATAGATGTTTGCAGCCTGGGGCAGTATACACATGAGAGGAGTGCAGAGGGTATGGTGGCAAGCAGCATGTGCAGGAAACGAGTGCAGAGAGTATGATGGTGGGCAGTATGTGCAGGAGATGAGCTCTAGTGGGTAATATGGTGTGCAGTATGCGCAGGAGAGGAGTTTAATGGGTATGATAGCAGGGTAAAAAATGAGAAGAGGGTGCAGAGAAATAGGAAAGAAATGTGTGTGTGTGTGAAGGGGGGGGAAGCAAATAAAGTAAGAGGAGAGTGATAGGCGAGGAGGGAACCTGATGGAAGGGATGATTGGGTAAAAAGTGACAGGAGGGGGATGTGGTGGTAATAGCGAGGGTGTTGCTGGTGAAAGTGTAGAATGGGGTAACATGGTAGTATGAGGCTAGGTTCACACCTGCACGACACCCGGGAAGCCACTGGCAACAGGTTAGGCAGTGCATTGATATGGTCCATGGATGCACAGCAGCAATGGGAATAAAGCTTCCAGGGAGTTCAGCTCGGCCTATGCACAGTAAGATACATTTTTAGCATTAGGGAGATTTCTCTTCACTTCCTGTCCTGGAAACACAACAGAAAGTAATAGGATATCTTTCCAATGTGAAAGACATCCCCTCTTAGACAGTTGTCACAGGAACTGTGCCCTAATTCGAAGATTCACCCTCTGATCCTGCTCTGGTGGCAACTCAATATTTTGGGTTTTCTCTCACTTTTATTCCCTGTGATATCCATGACCAGGATAATTAATGGGTGATTCTCCCTAATGGGGACACAGACAGCCTCCCACCACTCTATCCAAATCTAAAAAAAAAAAAAAAAGTTTTTTGCTTGTAGTTAAACTTCAATGTTTCATGAAATTCTAAAAATGTTAAGACCTTTGAAATATTCAAATATTCTTGTGATTAGCATTAGCAAAATATGCACTATAACATCTGATAAATCTAATAACTGACAGAAGGGATAAACTTTTTTTTTTTTCTTGAAAATGCTAAAAGCTACCACAAGATGGCGATCTTTACTAGACAAATATTAAATGGCAACAGTAGCTTTCTAATAATAAAGTGAGTGGCTGTCATGGAGCAAAACTGCAGTAATTTATGATGACCAGCTAATCCCATGCTTTTAAATTGTGCCTGTTCATAAATGAGTGCTCAGATGCCTGTAGCTTGACACCTGAAGCTTAAAAAGGTACATGAGCTACTTTTGAAACAGAATGGGGAGTTTTGGGCCCCATAGACTTTAATGGAACCCCCTGATAAACATCTGAAAATTGCATTTTCAAGACTAAACAATCATCTCCTTCTCCTAGTACATAGCTTTCTAATAGCTAAAACAGAAATACTGAAGCCTAAATGCACCTGAAAAAAACATGAAACATGACTATTAACAAAAATGTTTGTTATTTGTGTAATTCTCAGCTGTAGATCCTCAAATCATCTCTGAATTGGTGCTGACTCTGTCCTTCCTTTGTTCTCCAAGTGCACTCCTGTGATGGGCTACAATCTCAATACAAATGACTAAACTAAACATGAGATTGTAGTCCATCACAGGAGTGAGCTTGGAGCGGTTGCTACTTTACAACCCACACAGGGACCATGGGGAACAAGAGTAGTCACCCTCCAGAAGGAAGGACAGTGTCAGTATGAAGTCAGAGATGATTTTAGGATCTACAGCCGAGTGATACACAAATAAGAGACATTTTTGTTAATAGTCAAGGTACTCAAATGCATTTTGTAAGACTTTTCTCCTGAGTTTAGTATCACTTTAATGTTAATACTGGCATTAGCAGGGTCCTAGGGATTATGACAATGTTTTTATCATATTTCCTCCTTCGTGCAGTCATGCACACAATCCACTTCCTCTAACAACAGATAAAAGAATAGGAAATTAGGTTGTCTTTACTGAGTTTATTAAAACCAATCTTTGGGCATCAACTTTACCTCCTTTACCCATCCAAACTAATTACCATGCTCGTTATAAAAAGTTTATAAAAAATGAATTTTACTTACCTAAATGCATGGCCATGTCTCATGCCAGGTCCCGAGTCTTCTCGTCTGGACTGGAGTGAGAGGCTCCTACAGGTGTCCCATTTCCCTGGGTAATGTAGACGCTTACTAACGATTGTCCACTGGAAAGGTTCTTATAGGCTCCAGAAGACTGCAGTGGTGTGATGATGTCACAACAAGGGGACCACTTGATAGTAGGCACAGACTGCAGCACTGGGTCACTCATCTCCACTCCCCAAAGAGGAACTGCGGTGGGTCACATGACACCAGTTTCATTTAAAAAGAAATCATTTAATCAATGGGTGAGAATAATGGGAGGGAGGTTTAAAAAAAAACAACTTAACAAAAGAATAAAAATGTAATATATTTGCACTTACCAGTTATTATATGTTGCGGCTGCATTCGTTTTAATTGTTTAGGCTACAGACTTTTTCATCAAGTACAGAGAATACCAATTAATCTTGCCAGAATTGCAGTGTTCTTGTAACTTCCTTTTAGCTGTCTTGGAAGCATAAAACCATGTCATTTTACTTGTCTAAACTGCTAATCCCATTGTTCCCAAGTAATGGAGATGAACAAAGGCAGACATGTTTGAAGTCCGGCCTGTGTGACAAACATGGTTTCAACATAGATACAGTGGAGGAGCTAGTAGTAGTCACATTCAACTGGACTGATTTTGTAATGTTGAAAACATTTTGTAGTTTATTCAAATCTCTTCTTCTGTTCTAATGAGTGTCAGGAATATACATGAGGATTTATATCCACACAGACAGCACAGATACCTTAATCCAATCACTGTTGAAAGGCAGATGTTGATTGTCCAAAAACAGGACTGGAGGTGATGTGAAAGTTGTGGAACCACCCTATTCTAGTTACATAATCCCATCCTTTGGTGTCAGGAAGATTTCACAGGTGCTAATAATTTGATTTACATGGCTGAAGCTTTGGATTGTTGTCACAATGACATGCAGACTTTATTCTTTTCTTTTATACATTATTTTTCTTAAATCTTGTAAGGAAATATAATTAAAACAATTACAATAACAGAAAAACTTCAGCAG